CTCTCTCTCTCTCTCTCTCTTCTCTTTTATCCTTCTTCTTCCACCCACACTTCTTATCCCCTTCACACACCCTTTTCCTAAAACAAAAGCATTACCAGCAGCTGGGGCGGGAGTATCCCAAACAACGCAATCAGTTAGAATAATAACTGTTGCAACAACAACAACAACAACAACAACAGCAACAACAACAACAACAACAACAACAACAACCCCATCCCAACAAAAACAAAAGTAACTTTAACAACAACAACAATAGAAACAACAACAGCAGAAATAACTACAGCAAAAATCGCAATGGTGATAACAACAACACAGCAATAAAAACAACAACAACAACAACAACAACTGCAATAAAAACAACAAAAACAACAGTAATAACAACAACAAAAACAACAAAAACAACAAGAACAACAACAGCAACCACAACAACAACAACAACAACAACCACAACAGCAACAACAACACCAACCAACCTCACACCACCACCACAACAACAAAAGCAACAACAATAATAACTACAACATTAACAACAGCAACAACAACAACAAAAACAACAACACCAATAGCAATACGGACTACAACAACAGCAACAACGCCATCACAACTCCGAGACAACGGTTGAATACCTCATTCCCACGCGCAAGTATCTACGAACATGCACTGAAGCTCTGAAAAATCTCACCCCAAGCCGCGCAAAAACAACTAATAAACAAACCCAAGACATAAACTTCCTGCTTGAAACTCTATTATTCGTAAAATAAATTGAGGAGATTTCCGCTTCTTGCTTATTCGAAATGCATTTCAGTGATTTTTAACCACATATCCCATTATCGTCTTGTTATCCCGGCTCATTACAGAACAGCAAGACGAACACGCCAACTTGTAAACACAGCTGCACTGCGTTAGAAAGATGTATCTCCGAACTTAACTTTTCTGGAGAATTGTTTAGGGTCCCCCCCCCCTCCCCTTTCCACCCTGCTCATAAAAAATAAATTTTAACGCTCTTTTTAAAAATATTTTTCAAAACTTAAAAACATAAAATAGCTGTCTCATTTCCAATGAGACTAGCTAGACCCCTTCGATGCTGAGGCGAAATGTTGAAATGTTAAGAACTCGGTTGAAAGGGGGGTTTTGTTGCTAAAAGGATGTGCTCATAATTGCAATGCCATCCATGTCAAAGGTGGCGTCGGTAGCGTAGAGACTGTCCACTTCATGAGACTGCGGGTTCGAGGGTTCGAGTCTCAGCTCGGTCGGACGTTGTGTACTTGGGAAAGGCACTTGACGCGAACGTCCCACCTGGCTCGGTGCTTTCGGAGACGGACGTTAAACTAGGAGGTCCTGCCCCGTAAATAATCTAATAGTGTTGATAGGGGCGTTAAACCCTTACCATTTTACAATTTTTATGTCTAAAGGTCTGAGACTTATTTAGGGGTTGAAAACCCAAGGAAACTGGCTAGACTTTGGTGCCTGCCCCTGATGGTATGGCTTGGGTGTTTGTTTGTGTGTGTTTAAAGTGTCCTCTCGATGCTGCTGTCCAAAGCTTTATTCTTTTCCCGAAACCTTCTCCTTCTTTCCTTGGCATTTATTTAATTGTTTTTGGGGTTTAAAAAACAATCTAAAAACCCAACACCCGTAGGACTCACTGGACAATATTGATAGTAGGTGACAAACTCGTACGACCTGGGTTCAAAACCTCTTGAGAAAAAAATAATAAAACGTCCTTTTTTTACTTTTTCATTTGCCAAATGTTTCTGCTGTACATTGCTGCACATACGTGTAGATCTACCTCTTCTTGTTTCCCCAATCTTTTTACTAGCCCATTATTTTTTTTTTGAACATTACACTGTGAGACACACTTTGGAAATAATGACTTTGTATGATTTTGTTACCACGTTATCTTTTTGAAAAAAAGAGTTACTAGCATTAGTGGTTTATCAGTTATGAGTTCATTTTTGCACGTGGAAGACGCCAGTTCAATCCCGTGTGGAAATTTTTGTTTGTCAAGACTTAGCCTGGTCAGCCCAGGCAAGAGGAGTTGAGGCAGCTTGCCTCTACAATGATTTAAATAGTGGTGGTGGAGAGTAAAACTCTTTTCCTTCACCTTGACACCCCCCCTTTCTCCCCTCCCCCTCCCCCTCTCTCTCTC